CTTTTGACTGTGAGTTCTCTGTTCTTCCAATGACTATTTTCATTTTTGTTGACTGAAGTTCAAAAGCCGAACATGCGACGTTGGCCTTCAATCCCTTTAAGAAGTAACCTTGGATTTAGAATGCACTTGGGCACTGGTGAGGTTGCGTCAGAACTGGAGAAGTTGGCGCTCTCCAAGTTGGTGTGTGAGTTTGATGCGGCTCTACCCATGACCACAGCAGGCTTTTCTGCAGAAGTTTACAAGCTGGTTTTTAAGTTTGTAAAGAAATTAAGAGGACCTAGAATTTCAAGGGAATCTTGAAAATAAGAACTAGCACATTTCTGTGCAGGAAGGAAATATCACTGTGTTCCTTTGGGGTGTACATTTCTTGAATTCTCTTATAAACTAGGCAGGACTGGCTTTTATGTACTGGGCTTGAGTAAAACTGAAATAGATACATATTATACAGTGACCCACCTAGACCATCTAAGTCGAATGAATCTTTCCCATGGCGGCCGACTGTGGGTGAATTTCAGCTACCCTCTGCCGGTGCGTGAAGGGGCCTGGGCACAGGAGGATCCGGCATCCGTCTCCCTGGTCTCGTCTCACCCCGGCAAGGCTCCCCCTGCTGCTTGTAGGGGCCTTCAGCTTTGTCCTTTACTGTAATTTCTTGTTGTTCTTCTTACCACTCCACTTACGCCGTGCATATTTTTCTTACACACTTTGGGTGTGTACTGTATTTGCACATGCAGTTAGGGATAGTGTACATTTATATGTAACAAAACTCAAAAACCGTGGCCTTAAACAGTTAGGGAGTTTATTTTTCCTGTGCAACAAAACGTTTGGTCTGAAGTTAGAGGAGTGTTTGTGAAGACTGAGAGCCCTCCTAGCTTTTGAACTAATGCAGCGTCTTAGCAAGGATGTACCTGTGTCCGGGGAGAGACCGCAGAGCAGAGCCCCAGTGTCCTGGACAGTTTTCTCTGCCTTCGACCTTTGCCTTTCCCCTCAGTCTGCCCCCCAACCCTGACTTAATACCCTGTCAGTAGCAAGCGCGTTCTGAGACCACAAGTCCGTTTCTCCACGTGAGTCCTGCAAATGAGACTCTCTGTTCGCCTTCTCCAGCCAAGATCTGAAACCTTACGCTCCTGTGTCTTCCAATGCCGTCTTCCCCGTGGTCACCGTGTCCTTTTGGTAGATGATTATTTGTGTAGAAGTTGTTTCTGTTTCTTCTGTATTTTGGTGCAACTACCCTAATCCCAGGGGTGAAGTATATGAATATCAGCTACTGGTTGTGATTCCCACTGCAGCTTCATTTCTGATTATTACCTTTTAAATGTTTCACCTAACAGACACTTCCTGTGTAGAGCTTTTTTATTCTCATAGACTAGCCAAAAAATAGCACAGGGGGCATGTGTGTGTGTGTGTGTGTGTGTGTGTGTGTGTGTGTGTATTCAGAGTCAGGACAGCAGGACAGGTTAGTTTTTACAGTCTAATTTCCTTAGAAATACCGCAGTGAACTTTGGATTCTGGTCCTCTCACTCACCCCCCAAACACACACACACGCCCCATAAGGTGGTAACTCCTTACCTTGGTTAGACAGAACTTCTTACCTTATTTCTCAGATAAGCAGTTAACTGTGATCTCCTGGAAAAGACAGAGCGAATTTTTACCTTTAGTTCCTAAGGGACATTGCTTTTTGGATAATTAATGAATTTTAGGTTATGTTCTTTTTAAAAAAAAGTTTTTTTAAGATTTAAAAACAAATTTATTTATTTTTAGAGAGGGAAGGGAGGGAGAAAGAGAGAGAAAGAAACATCATTGTACAGTTGCTGGGGGCCGTGGCCTGCAACCCAGGCATGTGCCCTGACTGGGAATGGAACCTGCGATGCTTTGGTTCACAGCCCGAGCTCCATCCACTGAGCTACGCCAGCCAGGGCTAGGTTATGGGTTGAATTGTTTTTCCCTAAAATCCATATGCCGAAGTTCATACCTCAGAACGTAACCTCATTCAGGTCTTTAGAAAAGTAGTGAAGTTACAGTGTGGTCATCAGGAGGGTCCTAATCCAGCATGACCCATGTCCTCACACAAAGGGGAAAGCGGGAGACAGACAGGCACCCCGGGAGAACGCCAGGCGGGCAGGACGGTGGCCTTCTGGAAGCCACGGGGAGCGGCCTGGATAGGCCCTTCCTTGCATAGCCCGCAGGTGGAACTGGCCCTGCCCACCCGTTCACACCTCATTTCGGACTTCCAGCCTCAAGAACTGTGAGACACAAACTCTGTTGTCTAAGCCACTCAGTTTGTAGTAACCAGTCCCTAATGAAGATCCTTAATGGCCCTTAGTGAGAACTCTCAGATTCTGGTTGACGGTCAGTTCTTGATTTTTTGTGAGGATGTGCGGATTAGTTTTTTCCTAAATCTTTGTGATTATTTTAGCTTCTGGAGAAGCTGAGTTAGAGACCAGTGTGTTTTCTAATGACATAAGCTATGCCTTTACCACGTTATGGATGATTGTTTCCACTTGTTGTAACGGCTGTGCAATGCACTCTTCTCCCAGGTTTTCTGGAGTCACCCTGTCACACAAATACCAGAATGTTCCTGCGTGCTGCAGCAGGCAGGCCCATGTCCAGAGCACACACATTCCTGAGTCCCAAGTCTTTGTTCTCTTTACACCGGGCAGTAGGCACTGAATGTGAGTCCTCAAGTATCTAAAGAAACGGTGTTCTCTCCAGATCTCGCCGTATTGGGTTTGGTGCTGTGAGCTTGTTTAATGGAGCGGCATCTTCTCTGGTGCTGTCACCATGGAAACAGGAGCTCCTTCCAGATTCCCAGTTTGAGAAAATCATTGTTAGATGTGTTACTCAGCCAGGAATGTGCTGTACCAAGTTCGGTAAAGTCGGTTCAGTGCTTTGTACCATTTTCTGATATCAGACAGAGATGTGGAATAGTGGGGGGTGTCATGGTCCTTCATGAAATGGTGGACATGATGCATACAGGGTTTTGTTTTTCTATTTAGTTATTTTTAAATTTGATTTTAATTGTTGTTGCAGTACAATTTTCTATCTTTTACTCCCATCCCAACCCACCCACCCAGCCCTCCCCTCCTCCCTCCCATTTCCACCTGCCCCTAGTTTTTATCCACGTGTCCTTTATTCTCGTTCCTGTAAACCCTTTTCCTTTTCCCCTGAAATGCCCTCTCCTCTCCCCTCTGAACTCTGTCAGTCTGTTCTTGATTTCAGTGTCTTTGCTTATATTTCGCTTGTTTCTTTGTTTTGTTGTTTAGGTTCCTGTTAAAGGTGAGATCATATGGTATTTGTCTTTCACTGCCTGGCTTGTTTTGCGTAGCATAATACTTTCCAGTTGCATCCACGCTGTTGCAAAGGGTAGGAGCTCCTTCTTTCTTTCTGCTGCATAGAATTCCATTGCATACATGTACCATAGCTTTTTGATGCATTCATTTACTGATGGGCATCTAGGTTGCTTCCAGCACTTGGCTATTGTAAATTGTGCTGCTATGAACATTGGGGTACGTAGGTTCTTTTGGATTGGTATTTTAGGGTTCTTAGGATATAATCCTAGCAGTAGAATTGCTGGGTCAAAAGGCATATCCATTTTTAGTTTTCTGAGAAAATTCCATACTGTTTTCCATAGGGGTTGTACCAGTCTGCCATCCCACCAACAATGTACTAGGGTCTCCTTTTCACCACAACCTCTCCAAAACTTGTTGTTTGTCGCATTGTTTATGATGGCCATTCTGACTGGTATGAAGTGGTATCTCATTGTGGTTTTAATTTGCATCTCTCTGATAGCTAGCGATATTGAGCATCTTTTCATGTGTTTTAACAGGAACTAAACTTGGGTTTTATAAAAAATGTATACTTTTTACTTAGAGCACAAAGATAGTTTTGGGAGAAAGCATGAATGAAAACCATGTATCTAACAAAAAAATAAAAGATGCAGTATACATTGTTTTTAGTAAATATTCCAATGTCAATCATAATTTTTTTACTTGCTTAATTTTCTAGTGACTATCCTTTTTTAAAAGAGATTTTAGTTTTTATTTTTTGTTTAAGAAGTATAAGTATTACTTTAAAGAAAAGACATTTGCTAAAAGCCTCTAGCATTTAGACCATGGCTGTCAAACTAGTTTCTTTTACAGAAAATATCTGTCCTTGGAGTGTTACTGAAAATATCTTAGGACAGTCTCAGTGTTCTAGAGAGTCCATCGTTATGCACACGTTTTTGTTATTACTTAAGAATCTTGGATAGAAAAAAAAATCACTACTGTGACATTTCGTTGGACTGGCGCTCGCCAGGAGGTGACCCCCACTGCCACGCCTCTGCGGTGTCTCATAAGACCTGCCAGTGTTCTGTTTCCTGCGGAGCCCGTGTCGATTGTTCCAGTCTGCGTTTTTCTCTGACGTCTCTGAACTTGTATCTAGGTATTTATACCAGAACTAAATTTTTATTATGCAGAAAGGAGTCGAAAGAGAAATTCTTTTTCCCTCAAGTTCATAAAAGGCCCTCACTAGCTTGGGACATAATAGGTTTGTAGTAAATATGGGCGAATGAGTTTCTCATCGAACACAGTCTTTTTAATGTTTAGAACTGTGACACAACGCGGAGTGTTTCTCGGCCTTGATGTTTATCACTGGTTTGGGGACTTAGGAAGATTCGGAGACCTCGCTTGTCACGGGCAGCATAGCAGAGGAAGACCATGGGTTGCGAAGTCAGGCTGCCCGGGTTCTTATCGAAGCTCCATTGCTTCACTGTTCACTTTGCGACTCCTTACGACTCAGTGTCTTTATTTGAGAAAGAGGAGCGACAGTAGTACTTCCTGCATGATTCGTTGAGATTTGAATTAGATTTTACATATATAAAAAGGAGATTTTATAAACTTTTGTATATACGTATATATCATGTTTAGAAGAATTCTTAGGTTTTGGGGGTTTAAGTTGGCTTCATAGTAAAAGTGTATCATGTGCATTTGTAACATTTGGCATTATTCTGATGACATTTCCAGACTTGAAACACAATGGCAGGAAACAGCCTGGTTCTGCCCATCGTCCTTTGGGGCCGCAGAGCGCCCACACACTGCATCTCAGCGGTGCTCTTAACCGACGACGGGGCCACGGTCGTCACCGGATGCCACGACGGCCAGATATGTCTCTGGGATCTTTCAGCAGAATTGGAAGTGAGTATTTGTAACGTCTCCCGTGCTTTTTATTTTTTAAAGATTTTATTTATTCATTTATTTTTAGAGAGAGGGGAAGGGAAGGAGAAAGAGAGGGAGAGAAACATCAGTGTGCAAGAGAGAAATAGATCAGTTGCCTCTCGTGTGCCCCCAACCGGGGACCTGACCTGCAACCCAGGCGTGCGCCCTGACTGGGAATTGAACCAGCCACCAGTGCTCAATCCACTGATCCACACCAGCGAGGGCTAATCTGTTTTTTATCCTTATAGGATTGCCTATTCTGGACATTTCATGTAAATGGAATTATGTAATGTGTGGTTTTTTATGTGTATGTGAGTAGTTCTTTTCATTTAGCATAGTATTTTCTAGGTTTATTCCTGTTGTAGCATGTATCAATATTTCATTTTTTAAAAAATGTCAAATATATCCCATTTGTATGGGTATACTGTGTTTATCTGTCTTTTTATCAGTCGGTAGATATTTGGGTGGTTTTTCCTTTGGCCACACTGAATAATGCTGCTGTGGACATTTGTGCATGAGTTTTTGTGTGGACATGTTTCCATTGCTCTTATGTATACACCTAGTGTGCAACTGCCAACTGGAAAAATGATCCATGTGTTTGGATAACATGTGAAGAATATCTAGGTTAATAAGTTGCAAAGTAGCCAGAGATGAGTGTTGTAGAATGTGATATGCCTTCAGAACTGATAGCAAACTAAATATGAATCAGCCACACAGTGAGGAGAAAAAAAACCCCACCTTTAAAAAAAAGATTTTATTTATTTACTTTTAGAGAGAGAAGGGAGGTAGAGAAAGTGAGGGAGAGAAGCAGCAATGTGCTAGAGATACATATATCAGTTGCCTCTCACATACCCCCAACTAGGGACCTAGCCTGCAACCCAGGCATGTGCCTTAACTGGGAACCGAACCAGCGACCCTTTGGTTTGCAGGCTGGCACTCAATCCACTGAGCCACACCAGCCGGGGAAAAAATGATACGATGTTTTACTGGAATGATTATAAGCAGTTGAGATTTAACTTGTAAGATTTTAGAAACAATTCCTTTACTGCATGGATTTCACTAGAATGTTATGTTTATTTAAGTTCAAGTAAAAGGGATAAAAGTGACGGGGGGAGGGCGGGATGTGAGAAGTGGTTGGGGCCGACCTAGGAGAGAAATCTATCTCTTGACAGATATTAAAGGAATTGGGCTATTTATCCCGGGGGGAAGGAAGGCTAAATAAAAGGTGGCTTGGTTATTGTCTTTTGATATATATGGAGGGTCTTCTTCTTCTTTTTTTTTTTAAGATTTTATTTATTTATTTTTTAGAGAGGGAAGGGAGGGAGAAAGAGAGAGAGAGAGAGAAACATCAATGTGCGGTTGCTGGGGGCCGTGGCCTGCAACCCAGGCATGTGCCCTGACTGGGAATCAAACTTGCAACACTTTGGTTTGCAGCCTGCGCTCAATCCACTGAGCTATGGCAGCCGGGCTGAGGGTCTTTTTAAGTATTATACTTTTTAGCAACTGTTTATGCCAACTATTAAAGACCAGTAAGAAGAAACATAACATTTAGAATGAAAGCTCAAAATGCCTTCTTTAAAGGTCATAGTATCTTCTCTTCTTTTTGTAGGACAAGATTCAGAACTGTAGCTAGGAAAAGCTAGAGCTCTTGCCATCCATATCTCAGACTGCATTTACATGTGAGAAGGGCACTGTGGCTGGGCCTGGCGGCAGTATAATGTCTGAGAAAAGTTGGAGGAGCAGCAGTTTAGTGGGTACCTAGAGAGATGATAAGAGTGAAGAAGGAAACTTGTTGATAGAGACATTGTCTTTTATATGCAAAATTTGTAAAGCGTCACTGCCTGTGAAGTTGCTGGCTATTTATGTGACTGGTTCCTGTCTGCACGGAGCTTCCCTTCCAGTGGGGAAGCAGATCTGTGCAGAGAACCATGTCACCTGTGGCGTTCATGAAAGAAGTAAATGTTACAGAAGATTCTTAGCCTTTGAAAGCAGGCACATGGCTTGAGTCTTGGTTACTCTGGCATGTAGTTGTGTGACTTTGGGCAATAAACCAATTTTGTGCCTCAGCCTCACTTGGTCTGTGTCTGCCATGTCTGAAATACAGCCTGCCACAAAAGGTTGTGTCAAGGATTCTATGGAGGAATGAGTAGTAAGCAGCTATAACAGTGCTTGCACATAATAAAGATTTATTTAATAAGTGCTAAGTATAGGATCTCAGTAGTAGAAAGGGGAAAAAAACAGCTACAGGGGATTAAGAAAAGAGGAGCGCCGAATGATGGCCAACTGTAGAACTAGCTAGCCTCAAGGCCCCGGATTGGAACGCTGGTGCTACTGTTTACTCTTACTTAGGAACTGACACATCACATCTTTTTATTCTAATCATCTTGTATTCCCACTGATAACTTGCATCCAGTCACTTGGAGCTGTGTGGTCTTTGAAGACGGACAGCTTTTATGCATCAGTTGAGTAGATTACTTTTCGATACTTCTGTGTACTGATTGTGAAAATGTTTAGTTAATGACTATGACATAAATTTTTATGGAATATGGTGAAATATAAATAACAGGTATAAATGTAATAACATGCCATATATTTATTTTTTCTTTTGGTTAATAATATTAATGCTTATTTCCTCTATAATTTGCTTGATTTTATAATTGTGATTATAATTGTGATTTAGCATTGATACTAGGCACTGATGTATTTGTGGATGGTTGTCTCTGTATCACAATCAATCTTTTCCGTTGGTCAGTGTGTCTGTTTTTATGCCAGCACCAAACTCTTTTGATTACCAGAGCTGTATAATAGAGTTTGAAATCAGGAAGTGTGAGGTCTCCAACATTGTTCTTCCTTCTTAAAATTGCTTTGGTTCTTTGGAGTCTTTTGAATTGACTCCAAATGAATTTTTGGAGGTTCCATATGAATTTTAGGAATTTTTAAAAATTTCTGTGAAAAATGCCATTGGAATTTTGATAGGATTGCGTTGAATGTATAGATGGCTTTGGGTAGTATGGACATTTTAACAATATTAATTCTTCCAACCCAAGAATGTGGGATATCTTTCCACTCGCTTGTCGTCTTCCATTTCTTTCATGATTGTCATATAGTTTTTTTCTACACAGGTCTTTCACCTCCCTGCTTAAATTTTTTTTTCATAAGTGTTTTTATTTTATTTTTTGATGCCATTGCAAATGGGATTGCTTTCTTAATTTCCCTTTCAGATATTTTGTTGTTAGCGTGTAGGAACACAACTGATTTTTGTATGTTTATTTTGTATCCTTCAGCTTACCTGAATTTGTTGATTGGTTTTAACAGTCTTTTGGTGAAATCTTTAGGATTTTCTTTATATGAGATCATGTCATGTTCAGAGACAGTTTTACTTCTTTTCAATTTGGATGCCTTTTATTTCTTTTTCTTGACTAATCACTTGGTCTAGGACTTACAATAATATATTGAGTAGAAGTGGCAAGAGTGAGCATCCTTGTTATGTTCCTGATCTTACAGGAAAGGCTTTTAGCTTTCCATTGTTGACTATAATGGTGGCTGTGGCCTTGTCATGTATGGCGTCTGTTGTGTTGAGGTATAGTCCTTCTGTACCTAGTAGGAGTGGCCTACCTTTTGGTGTCTGTGGTCCACACTGGAAGAAGAAGAGTTATCTTAGGCCACCCTCTAAATGCATTGTGACATGCAATCACAAAAAAAATCTCATAATGTTTTAAGTACATTTATGATCTTGTGTTGGGCCTCACTCACAGCCATCCCGAGCCACATGCGGCCTGTGGGCCGCAGGGTGCACGCCCCTGGTAGAGGTTTTAATCATGAAAGGATATTGAATTTTGCCAAATGGTTTTAGGGCCTCTGTTGAGATGACCGCATGATTTTTTATCCTTTACCCAAGTATTTTTGTCCATTTTCTAGATGCTGGTGGGAGTGAAGTCCAGTTCTAGTTATCCTATTATGACTGAAAACAGCAAAGCCATATACATAAGATATAAAAATAGCTATTGGTAAATCTGATTTTTCTTGAGAGAAATTAAAGAATTGATGAGGAGCTTTTCTTGCAGTGAAAGAACACTGAGTCTTTGCAGAGAGGCAGGGTTGGACATGAGAAAACTGTAGGCCTGCTCTAACCATAAATCATGACTACATTTTCCTCTTAGTTATAACTGCAGAGGATGGCTGAGAGGAATTTGATCTGGAAAATTTCTTCAGTCATATTCAAGCTCAGTACTCTTCCCATGCAATGTTTAATTCTGAATAATTTAGTTTTCCCATTAAGTTAGGATAAATTGTTTGCCAGGTGGACACCTTTGGTGATACACAGAGGCTTACAGGTATTTGTCATATTCTTTTTCACTAGATCTTGTGTATGTGGCTCTTCAGTACAGTCTTTCTATCTTACATGTCATATTATTTGTATGTATTAAATATTTAATTTAAAAAATACATCCCCAAATAGCATAAGGCCCTGAAGTAATAAAATGCAATTTGGTACAAGGTGGGTAAGTTTGGGAGCATGTTGTCAGACTGCTTTAGAGTAGTGGGTGTTCTGTGTAGTTGCGTGACTTTGGGGAACTCTTTCTGTGAGGCACCATGTCACTAAATCATTCGCCTGTGAAGGTCATTCTTAGTTCCTGATGGTTAATGTTGATATCAGCATTTGGGAGGATTTCTGTCCTCTCTCTCTCTCTCTCTCTCTTTTTTTTTTTTGTATTTGGAGATGTTGATCTAGATACTTCAAATTTGCTTTTAGATCAATGAATCTATTTAAAAAATAAGTGAGGTTAAATTATTTTATATGCTGATTCACACTCTTAACCCGATTTCTCAGTATACTCCAGCTTAGAGTTTAAGACCTGCTGCCCTGGTGTGAGTCCTGCCTCCATCACTCTGTTTGACACGGGACAAGTAATGTCCCCTCTCGGTGTTCCCACTGCAGTGTCAGTGCCACTTGGCGGGGTGACTGGGAGCATGGAATAGGTGGGAGTCACTGTTTTGTTCTTCCTAGTTTTTGGGCATTCTGAGCAATTCTTCTCAAATCTGTATCTTTATATTTACATGAATATGTAACTGGATCCCTAAAAAAGATTAATTTTTAAAAATTTGGTTCTCACGTCCACATATTTGTGTGTTTCTAGGTGAACCCTCGAGCACTGTTATTTGGTCACACGGCTTCGATCACCTGTCTGTCCAGAGCGTGCGCTTCCGGTGATAAACAGTACATCGTGAGCGCGTCTGCGAGCGGGTAAGTGGTTTCTCACCCCCCGTGTCCTCGTCAGGCTTCGTTGCAGGCAGCACCAGTGGGGTGGTGAGCAGGGAGGTACTTTTTCTTTTGTGTCTCAAATATGTTCTTGCGTTGTTTAAGCTCAAAGGTATTTGAAAATGTGGTTTTAAAAATGTGCATTTCATCTTTATTAATGATTTTTATAATACTTTTATTATAGTGTATTATGTCTTTACCTTACTTTTGAGAAACTCAGAATACCATAAAAGTCGAAGCTGAGCATTCATTAATCCTGGTGTTGCTGTTGAGCTGGTGGACAACTCTGAGAGTTCTTAAAAACCTGGTGATGCTATGCCAGCATCAGTTTGGGAGATGAAGCCGTATAAAAGATCATGTCATTATATTGATCTATACTAACACACCAGTGTGACCACATATATTCCTACACCTCAGAACGTAACTTGCTTTTGGGGAGAGAGATCATTGGACAGTAGTCATAGGGTACAGAGTGTATGGAAGTTTAAAAACTTTTTTGGTGCTTAGAAAATTGTACATTTTCACAATATGTTACTGAAGGGAGTTGGGGAACTGGAAGATAATTATTAAGCTGTGTCCTCCACTCTCCCTGTAATTTTATGAATTTGAAAAGAACCTTGTGTAACTATTTGGAACCAGAAGAGGCAGCATCAGGTAAAAATGCAGTACTTTTTGGTCAATTCACAGATGACTCACATTAGAATATGTAGTCTAAATAGACTGAGCTTTTCTTGAAAAAATTGTTTCATACTATGTGAGATATAGGAAAGCGCATTTAAGTTTTTATTTTTAAGAGAAGGAAGACATTGGCATTTCTGGTTTTGAATAATATTGTGTCCTTAGTTTGACGCGTAAGCTTTTCTGTCTGTATGCATTTAATAAAACTTCTGCAATAAATACAGAATCAGAACTGGAATATTATATGTAATTTGAAAAGGTTTAGAATTTTAACTATTTTTATTTGTTTTTTTGCAGTGCTAAGTTTTATAGTTCTGTTGATAGCCACTTCAGTGCTATCAGTTAGAAGTTTATTTCTTGTTTTTGTCACTTGCACCCACTGCCCACCCCAACACACCACTTGGGGCCCTGCTCTGCTTCGTTATTATCCTAACCTTGAGATCGAGGTTGAGGGAGCAACCACTGTCTGAATCAGCCGGTATCTGGGGCGAAGGCAGACGACAGAGAAAGTTCTGGAGGGCCTTGCACCTGTTCTAGCCAGAACCACTTGCAGTACTCCATCAACCCAAGGGGAGCCAGATGTGCGATCGCACCAAGCGCTCAGAAGCTGTGGATCAGGGTGGGGTGGGCGGGGTGGAAAGGACAGTGAGTGGGAGGGCCAGAAAGTTTGATGCATGGCCATAACGAGCGTGCACTACTTTTTCTGAAATACACCAGTTTTAATGGAAGACTACTCTTACACCACTGTGACAGAGTCGAGCAGTGCTTTTAGAAATCCATTTTAAAGTTTTGCTATTATTTTGCTTTCTAGAGAGATGTGTCTCTGGGATGTGAATGATGGCCGATGCATTGAATTTACAAAATTAGCCTGCACACACACTGGCATACAGGTGAGCATCTATTTCTGGAGCTGCCCAGGTCAGCACCGTTATTACAGGTGTTCGAGTAAAAAATGCTTTTTAAACATCGCGCTGTATTTTTCTGTGAAAAATGGGTGGAGCTGACGAGAAGACAGGATTAGAGCAGTGAAAGTGTTCCCCAACGGAGGGTGTAGCGGGCGTCGTGGGGGAGGGGTAGCGGAGGAGCCCGAGGGGGGAAGATGTGAGTGAGCTGGTCCCTCTGCTGCTTCTGCCCTGCTGTTAGCCAGGGGAGCGCCAGGCGGGTGAGTCACCTAGATCCTAAGGGAGGGGGTTCTTTCCCGCTGAAGCCCTTGTGGTTCCATTCATCTTGACACGAACTGACCCACCGTGCGGGTCGTATCCTTTCGAGTGTTTGCGTAGTTGGTGCTGGGCTGTGTTGTGTGACCTTCCAGCTGTTCTGTGCAAGAAATGACCCTTCCGTATGGCTGGCTGGCTCGGGAACGTGTGGTTTCTAGCTTACATCCCCAGGACTCTTCCTTACGCTTTCGTAATCGTCAGGTTCTCCGTGCTTCTGTTCACTCATCATCTCCTGTGTCGAGTGTAGGGAAAGTGCCTAGTATATAGGAAATATCATTCACGTTCTTAATGGGCAAGGAGAGGGAAGAGAAGAGAACTCCCATTTTTGAGCAAATGTTGTATAAGCATTTCTCGTATGGTGTTTCATTTAGTCCTTCCCACATCCTTTCTAATTGAATAGGAGTGTGTCATTTTACATACAAGGAAAGAGACCCAGGCCGATTAAGTGACTGCCCCCGTCTCACAGTGAGTCATTCCTGGTGCCGGGATCCCAAATCAGGTTTCTCTGACTCGAGGGACTTGTTGTTCACGTCACACCGCCTCTGTGGAATCAAGCTGATACAGTTGTTGTTGCAGGAGAAACCTCCTGTGCCAGCCCAGAGCAGAAGTGCAGTGGAGATGTTTGTGGGGGAGGTGGCAGTGAGCAGGATAAAGGCAAAGGCCTGTGGAAATTTTCCTTTTCCATGCTGTTAGGGTGTATGCTTTTTATGTAAAAGGCGTTCATTGTTTATTTTCTGTCATACGAAGAACCACCAAGGTTCATAGAGAGAAAAGGGGTAATAAAATGATGGAGAGTCATTGACTTTATAGGTCACTTTCATTGAAAAATTATGTGTAAATGTCTTGAACTCATTGGATATAAGTAGCTTGACAATTGCAGTTTTATGATTTAAAAACTTTTGGTTTACATTTTCGGAAGAATTATCTGTATTTACTCAGCATTTTCCCAGTGCCCGCTCTCTATCAGATCCTGTGGTAGGCCTTCTGCAGTTAAGTCGGCAGCCATCTCTAAGGAGAAGATGCTTTCTGCAGGTCCACTGGTGCATGACGGTTGTTTCCTGTGCGACCTGCACCCTCCCAGGTGCAGCGGCGCGCACAGAGAAATGGTGCACCTTGGCGACTCGCCCTTTCTGAAGCCCAGCGAGATGCCAGCGTCAGAGACCCTCGTGTGGGGGCATCCCTTGTTAAAGTTTGGGAACCTTGCTTCTCCACTCAGAGCACCTTCTTTGCCAGTATCGAAGTGTCAAAGAAGCCAAATTAGTGCTCAAGTATTGTTTGCGAGTTGAGCTTCAAAGCCAAAGGTGGGAGACACTCAGGCAGGCAGGTCTGGGAAATACCCGCGCGCCCAGGAGAGGCCTCTCCTCTCCGGTGACAGCAGTGCTCGGGTCTCTCCTGGCTGGTGCTGGATGGTCAGTGACCGGGTTTGCCTCTCTGCGCCCGGCCTTTGCTCCTCGGCACGTCCTCCCCTTATACAGGTCAAGACTGCCTGTGGTCACATTATTGTACCTGAGTGCCTGGCAGTCCGTGGGCCCTCCAGGTTGTGTGTCATGGTTTTTGAATCAGCCTCCTGAGGCCTGGAGGTGTCCCCTTTGTGGTCTGCATTTTAGTGCATCTTCTCTCTGCGTTTCACTGGCGCTGCCTCACCCTTACTAAATGTGCTCCATGATCTGATCAGTGTTTGCATGTGAGCAGTTGTCCCTTTTATACAAGGTCCTCCACGTTGGAGAAAAGACTGTATTTCTCCGCATGCATTTTGAGCTCTGAGAACAGGTGTAACGGCTGCGGGAGCAGACTGGCCCCGGTTTCCTAGGAATGTCCCAGTTGTGGAATGGTGACAGCATGGCCTGTTGCGCTGTCTGGCTTGCCCTCACGTGATTCGGATGAGGTCTCCTCCTCGGGAAGTGGTAGTCTGGATGGTAGAGGTCTTCGCCTTCTAAAAATCCTATAGGGGCATCATTTTAAAGAGAGTCATGGTTTTTTGAAGCTAAGGTCCTTTGATAAGATGTTGGCCTTGTTTTGATAGTTCTTCTTCCCTTGGTGGGTGGAAACCAGTCCTACTTACCCTTTGGAGTTGGGTATGCTTGGCAGGGGTAACGTGTCGATCGTGACTGTGTGGGTTCTGCTTCTGCTTTCCTCCCACAAAGTGTGAACGTGTTCTGTGGGAATAGTTAATGAAGTCGTCTCATACTCTAGTCTGAAATAACACACTTAGATTCACCAGAATTTGATTCTGAGTATCATATGTTTGATCATCTTTACTTCTAAATTTTGTTTGGTCACAACTAGTCATTGTAAGACTGTAACCACCTATTCCCGTTCATCTAAAATTCATATTATTTTTGTGACCCATCTGAGCTTCCCCTTTGCTTTAATTTGTGAATCTGATTTTATTTAGGTATTTTGTTAATTCATTCAACCATCCTGCTTTTAATGCTTCAAGAGGATAAAAAGGAAAATTATGAGTTTTCCAATGTAGTTCAAAAGGGAGGATAGGCGTGAGGAGAAGAAGAATAATTGTTAGATATTTTGAAATATTAATGTAACTTGATGTGTATCTGTGTATGCATAGACATGTAATATATAACACATATTACATGTCTGTAAGTATTACTGAAAAAAAATAAGCCTCGTAACAAGCGTGATGAATGCATGTGAATCAAGTATCTTTGCAAAGAACATTTAAAACGTTTTTCCTTCCAGTTCTATCAGTTCTCTGTTGGAAATCAGAGAGAAGGAAGGCTGCTGTGCCATGGCCATTATCCTGAAATCCTTGTCGTGGATGCCACCAGCCTTGAGGTGTTGTACTCCTTGGTATCAAAGATATCTCCAGACTGGATCAGCTCCATGAGCATCATTCGGTCCCACCGAACGCAAGGTCAGCGTGTGGTGCCCGTTCGGAACTTCAGCACCGTGACTTATGGCTTAGTTGACTGCAGAGTTCTATAATGTATCACACATTGATATATTTGGTCATATTCTTCTATTTAAGACGTAGCTAATGATTTATGGTCTGTCTCTACCTTCACAAAGGCCTCTTTGGTTGAATTAAGATGTAAAGTGTTCGATTATTTCCATTCCATGTAATAGCCACTAGCTTCTGGCGGTCCCCGCGTGGGGGTGATCTTCTGGGAGGGGGGACGGAGGTCTTCACCCCTTGCAGGAACGGTGGGAGGAACCGTGGTTCCCCCTGTGCGTTTCTTGGGTGTGGCTTTGTCGCTTGCGTAAGAGGCATAGGAAGTGTTTCCGATTTATGTGAAGAGAATGCAAAGGAAGGGGGTTGTGTACAGTTAACTTTCACGAGAGTTCCTGGTACGTTTGACTGCACTCTCACCCGAAGCTTGTGAATTAGGTTTTCATGGAGTCTTTCTCCTGATCACAGTCTGTGGAGGGTGTGTCGTGCAGTGAGATGTCTAGAAGGCGGGCGAGAGAGGTGGGGAGCGGGGGAATGAGTTCCTTGAAGGAACAAAGTGATTAAACATTATGAGTTTTGAAGATAAAAGTTCTTTGTTAACATAGTAGTCGAGAATTTTTAAAATTATTAAAAAATGTAATTACAAATAAAAAATAATTTCAAGTAGCTAGAAACAGCTTTTCCCTGAATTCCAGATTTTTTGGCCATCTCTATTTTGTTTCAGAATCTAGTTCCTGTTATTTTATGGACTACAGAATTATGTTTTTATGTCAATTATAAAATTGTACTGTTACACAATTTAATTAAAGCGAACCAGGTTCCATGTTACTGTTGTAATCCCGTTTCTATTCAGAAACAGTGTACTGTATTTCTAACCTTGGCCTTTGTTCCTTCTTGGCTCAGAGGACACCGTGGTAGCCCTCTCAGTGACGGGCATCTTGAAGGTGTGGATTGTTACCTCCGACCTGAGTGGCATGCAGGTGAGACAAATGAGACTGGACTTAATTTCTCTGTTTTCCTTATGAAGTCTTCAGTTTCTGTAATGATATCTGTGTGTCTTCTTTTCTTAAAGGGGAAGGGGAAAGCTAGGTTTTTGAATAGTCTTATGGATGTGGGATAGAAGGTCTCCTAGAACACTGTCTGTCTAAGTGGATTAATGTTTCCACTTTTGATGGTCGACACTGGCTGTATCAAGGGTAGAAATAGAGAGATATATTGCACAGGAGAGGAAGTAGAGAAACATTTAGAAGAGACAGGATCTTCCTCAGTTGCTTCTGTTTAAGTTAAAAGTTAAAAAAAGTAGTTTGCTGTAGGGAAAAAAAATAAAGCCAACCATCACAAAAAAGTATATAAAGCCAGTTTTAGTCCTCTATCTCTGTTCTTTGGGCTTGCATTCCTTGTTACTTTTTAGTATGAAAGGTGGATCAGTTTTCTGACAATATTGGCGTTAATCTCTTTAGCTAGGGAAGTTTTAGACATTAAATCTGGGGGAAGCTGGATGAATTGATCAGCTGTTCTTAAACAAGAAGGCATGTATAGCTACAAAAATTAGGGTTGACTCAAAACTTTTATCATCTGTTATTGCCAGAGTGATGACACTCTGATTCTCATCAGTATTTTAATCTTGAGTGGTGATGTAGCAAAGATGCTGTTCCCAGGTGTTTTTATCATGTATTTTTATTGCTTTTTATTGCCTTGGTTCTCACATGATGGACAAAAATGACCATTTCAAGTGATGTCTTTATTTCGTTGTTTTTTTTTAAATTATTTTGCAGTAATTTTAATTGGCAGTCAAGCCATTCCTAAACTTTTGCACATCTTTCTTTTTCAGGATACTGAACCAATATTTGAGGAGGAATCCAAACCAATTTATTGTCAGAATTGCCAAAGCATCTCTTTTTGTGCATTCACACAAAGGTCACTTTTGGTTGTGTGCTCCAAATATTGGAGGGTAAGATAATAACATAAGTAAGAAGCTGTATTTTTACCCTTCCAGATGTTTGCCCTGGTCTGTGTGGCTCTGTTGGTTGGACATCGTCCTGTAACCAAAAGGCACATCCCTAGGTTGTAGGTTCAGTCTCTGGTCCAGGCATGTATGGGAGGCAACCAATTGATGCTCCTCTCTCGAATTGACATTTCTCCCTCTCCCTTCCTCTCTCTAATAGCAATGAAAAAAAATGTTTTCAGGTGAGGATAAAAAAAAAGATGTTAGTTTATTAGACTGTCAAAGATAATTGTAAGGAAAAACTCGGTGCAAGAATATTTAAACCGTTTGCTATTCGTATGTGATTTTGATGTCGTATTTTGAGGTATTGGGGTTTGGCCATATATTATCCTCTTTTTTTGTTTGTTTATGGAATGATTCAGTTAATGATTATTATTCTATTGATCTAATTTCTGCTTTTGCTGCTGCTTTAGTGTTTATCTTGTGAGTACAGCATAAGCAGTGGTAGCGGGTTTTCTGCAGGTTGCCGTACCTCTGTAGGTGGTTATTATTCTCAGTCGCCATTCTGTTCTGAAGGCAGGAAGGTCTCCCTTCTCACTTCAGAGCTGATGAAGGAGTAGATTATTTCAATATTACCAGACTTTAACATTTTTATAATAGAAAAAGCATCAGCATACTTTGGCCTCTTGTACCAAAGCTTTCTGTGTATTATTTATTTTAATACCTACAGCTGAGAGGGGAGGTGTATTAGTTATCTAATGCTGCATAACAAAAAGCACTCTGCAACAGCCCAGACATGTATCGTCACCCATTTAATACATGTATCGCCAGCCCACATGTGGGTCAGGGCCCAGGCACAGCTTATCTAGGTCAGAGTTTCTCGCAGGCTGCAGTCAAGGCGTTGGCCAAGACTGCTGTGTCATTGTAAGGCTCCCTTGGGGAGGGTCTGCTGCAAAGTTTGCTCACAGGACTCTTGGCAGGCCTCAGGGCCTCCTGACTGTTGGCTGGAGACAGTAGTTCCTTGCCACATGGGCTTCTCCCTCGGACAGGTCACACCAGGGGAGCTCACTCCCTCAGAGTGAGCGCAGAAGAGATTGTGCAGCCAAGACCAGCCCCACCTGGGAAGTGAGATCTTATCACCTCGGCCACATTCAGTTGTCTAGAAGCAGTCACAGAACCCAGCCTCCACCTGGGGGAGAGGGGCTCACGAGGGTGTGATTGCCGGCAGGGCATCAGTGGGGCGGTCCTAGAGGCTGCCTAGCACGGTGGGAGTTGTCACTTTCCCTGTTTTGCAGATGAGGCAACCGAGGCGTCAGGGAGGATAGACAGCTTGGCTGAGCTCTCAGGTGGGAGTGCAGTTGCTGGATTGTGGTTCAGATGGTTCAGGTGGTCCGACTGTGGCAGCTCTCCTTGCTACCAGGCTGTCCTGTCTTAAAGGGAAAGACTCTGTAGTAGAGGGACTGACTAGGGCAGCAGTGTCTTATGTTTACCTCACCACCACTACTGTTTCAGAACAAGGTTAGAGAGGAAAAGCTGGCAGCCGCTTAGTTTACGGTGAGCTCTATGCAGTTCTTCCTTTGTCTTAAAATTCAACATTTATGCGAATAGTAATAAGAAACAGTGCAAGAGGATGTAGTGAAAAGTCTACACCTTTCCCCTGGTGCTTCCCTTCCTCTCACAGAGGTATTGTCTAATACCAGTTTTTTCGTGTGTATTCATTATATGCATTTTATAATCATGTGAGAACAGCCTTTTCTTAAATGCATATATAAGAGTGAAAAGCCAACCCACAGAGTGAGAGAAAATACTCACATACACACACATGATGAAGAACTGGACTATTATTTATAAAAAACCCACTCCTGCAAATCAAGATGAAAAATACAACTGAGCAGGAGAATGGACAAAAGCATTTCCTCAGAGGAAAGCCAGGCGGCCAGTGAGTGTAGAGAGGAGCTCACCTCACTAGTCCTCAGAGAAATGCACACAGAACAACATTAAAGTGAAAGTACCACCCACCAGAAGGACTTTTTTGGTATATTTATTGCCGTAAAGAAGTTTTCAATTTTAACATGGTTAAGTTATCATTTTCTATTGTATGGCCTCTAAAACAGTTTGCGACATGTTCTAAAGGGCTTGCCACAGCTGAGATTTATTTTTAATCTTTTATTTTTTTCTAATGTGTGTGTGATTTTACCTTATATATCCTTGAATCTTTAATCTGGAATTAATTTTGTATGAGTTGTAAGGTGTAAATACTATTTTACTTTTATTACAAACAGACCACTCCCAAGTTCCTGATGCCATTTGTTGAATAACTCGTATTTCTATTCTTGTGCCTCTGTAATACACTTTTTTCCCTGCATTACTTGAATTTGTTCCCTGACTTGATTTGTCTGCTCGTGTACTAACTGTATGAAGTTCATCACAGCTCTGGCGGTAGCGGTAATGTTTTATTCTATCTAGCTCTGTCATTTGTTTTAATGGATAATAGGGGAGAAGGGCGGTCTTCCTTTATTAGCCTTTCTTGGGCTTTTTCTTGGCTATTCTTGTAGTGCTAATGTTATATACTGATGAATGTTGATATTACAGCAAGTCATGATGAATTCAGCTAGGATTTGTTCTAATTTCAAGGCTCTTGCACCAGCAACGTCATTGTTTTTTCTTTTTCTTTAGAGAAAAATAAAGTAAAAACTCTGGGCTATTGAATTACTCATTCCTCCTGGGGAAATTTTCTAGCAGTGCGGAATGTACTTTTTTAAAATATTGAAAGCGGTAGAAAGGAACGTTCTGCCAGGAATTCTAAGACCAGGGCTGTCGTCCTCATTCTGTCACTTACTGGACACATGACCTAGAGCAGGTGATGGAACCCTCGTTTGCATCCGGGTCCTGCCTGTAAAGTGGGGTAGCAGCACCTTTCCACTTGCTTCCTGCAGTGACTCTCGGAGCCATCTGAGAATGGTGGCCCTGGAAGGTCAGCAGCCTGTGTTGCTGATGACATCATAGGAATGCTCATGTGTGAGAATTATTAAATAATTAACCGAGTCTATTAACTTTCTATTTACAGTGTTTTGGAACATTTATGTAAAGAGGTAAAGTGAGGTAATTCCCCCCTTAATTAGGAGGTAGTCTGATGTCAAAGTTACTTGTTAGAAAAGTCCCTGGACAGAAAAAAAAGCAGGAGTCATCACCGTGCATTCCGGAGGCTGATTCCCCAGTACAGTCGTTCTCTCGATGAGACAGGCTGAGGATCCCGGCCTGCAGCCCGGCTCCCCAGGTCCTGGTCTGCGGTCTCTCCCTGCAGCTGGGCTCCTGCTGGTGCTTCCCTCCTGACGTCACTGTGCCCCGAGCTCACTGACAAAACGTCTTTAACTGACTAGCAAACTTGAAAGACCTGAGGAGGTTAAATAGAGTCTAGAAGATTTTTTCTTGTTTTTAAAGTAGGAATGTGGCCACATCTAACTTAAAATGACTCCAGCGCAGACCAGACTGTGAACTTCTTACTCCTTGTAGGTGTTCGATGCTGGAGACTATTCCCTGCTGTGTTCCGGGCCCAGCGAGGACGGGCAGACGTGGACTGGCGGTGACTTCGTGTCAGCAGATAAAGTCATCATCTGGACTGAAAATGGGCAGAGTTACATTTACAAACTTCCTGCCAGGTATTCAATAAATAATAAGTTAGCACTTTGATCATAAGCAAGATTCTGAATTTGGGGTATAACCTGGAAATAGGAAAACATGTATAGTGTAAATATTTAATTAATGTAGGTAAAAAAAAAAATCTCAGACCTTCTTGAGTTAGATGAGTAATTGCAATTTAATTTCTAAGTACAAAAATTAGGTAGGTTTTTTTTTTTTGAAACGGTATTTTAATGGCATTCATTAATTTAGTGCTAGACTACCTATAATTAAAAAACCATTTTTTTGTTCATGTCAAATCCTCATCATGTGGACCGACAAAATCCGCAGTGTCAGTATTTTAACTGGATGTTGTGCTTTCCTCCCTTTCAGTTGCCTTCCGGCCAGCGATTCTTTCCGCAGTGACGTGGGGAAGGCGGTTGAAAATTTAATTCCTCCCGTACAACACAGCCTCTTGGCTCGAACAAATAAAGAGGTGAGATCATTCTGGTATCATTTATAGTTGATAATTACATTGAAAATTTTTCATAACTATATTTTTGGGTGTCTCTTGGTAGCTCATCATTTGAAAGGTTAAATACAATTTAGGGCACTGTGTTAGATATTGTAAAACACTCTGACGTGGTCAGTTATAGGCACAATTTTAATATTTGCATGGCTTAGACATGTATTATGCTTACAATACAGCATTCACCACAAATGATTTAATGCTGAGCATGGTGAAATGACCTTTTTGATAAAGTCTGTATTGATGGTGTGCATTTATTTTATGCTTTCATGCAACTGTAAACACGGTGACAGATGGACCGTCCCTGTAGAGGGCAAACATCATCACATAATAGTGCTTACTAACAGCAGTTTGTTATATTTCAACAGGGCATCGCAATATCTCCCAGAAAAACAAGTGATTTAAATTATTAGACTTTAGACATGAAGAATAAAAGAATTTTCCTCTATTAAAATAGAAGTTTATTATGATTTCTTAAAACTTGGTTAATATCAACTTAAAGGTGAAATGCAACAGCTTCGTACTGAGTTTTCAACTCTTAGTATTGGGTCTTTACTAGTAAGAAAGAGGCTTTGGTTTTGGAAATACAGTTTTCTTTATACCTGGGCTTCCACAGCTTTATCTTTCTGAAAATTTTGTTCCATCTTTATGTGGAAAGACGATCAGGGGAAGGGAATTGCTATTTTCCATGACTGTTTTGAACATACAGAACTTACACGTGTGTGCACAGTCAAGGTCTTCTGCGACCCATCCTGCCTTCTCTCAGGTTCAGCTTCCGCCCCCTGCTCTCCAGCCTAGGCAGGCACTCCCAGTGGAAGTACGGGGTGAGGGTTTTACAGAAGGTATACACAAACAAAACGAAATAAATACATTTCCTGTTCCTTTAAGTAGCAGCTCCCCAGTACATTTTAAATTAAAAGATACCATTATGTGCTGTGAGGCACTCATTTATTGAAATACAGAATATTGATTATTACAGCTGCCATAGCAACTCCTCCTTGTTCAGCATGTTATCGATGAAAACGTTCAGTGATTTTCAGGATTCAAGAAGAGCCAAATAATTGATTATGCTGTGTGTGTGTGTGTGTGTGTGTGTGTGTGTGTGTGCGTGTGCGCGTGTACACACGTATTTCCAAAGGCTAGTGCTTTTTAGGGTAACAATACCAAACATGTAATTAGGTTATTTGTTAACTATAATTATCAAAACCAAAGTCTATTTATTACTGCTTTTCAGGATAGGATTCTGTGCTTTAATATTCAAGTATCTGTGAATTGATACATCTAAACTTTAATTTTAGGATTCTACCACTATTTAGAATTTTCAGATAAATGAGCTCACTGAAGGCACAAGATCTTAAGCACAAAACGAATTTGTTTTATAATGAAAGTACACATAAGACCCTAATAAATGCTTTTTTCCCCTAGTAGTTTATAGCTAACATATTGGGCTAGGTTCAAATTAATTCTGTGCATGTGGCCAAGTGGCATGTTACATGATTAGCTGAAGAATATCCTCACTTGTAAACACGGAGCCCTCCAGTTGCACAAACTTGGTGTTTTAATTTTGCTGCTATTTTTAGCGACTCATCAGGAACGGGCAAAAGTCTAGGATTAGCCAGTTCTCCCCTTTTTACCTTTTGAGTGGAGACTGCTTTTTAGTAAAGAGTGCAATATCTTTGTATTAATTATTCAGTAATGGACAGTTAAATAAATTATTGTGGTGACCAATCAGATTTGTTTTTTGTTAATCCTCACCCAAGGACATGCTCAACAATTTTAGAGAGAAGGAAAGGCAGGGAGAGAGAGAGGGGGGGAGAGAATCGATGTGAGAGAGGTTACCCTTGGTAATATGTAACCCACCAGGGATTGAACCTACAACCTTTTGGTTTACGGGATGGTGCTCCAACCAACTGAGCCACACTGGCCAGGGAGACTAATCAGTTTTTATAAAGCAGCAAAAAAGAATATGAATAACTAATTCTATAGAAAGACTATAAATATAATTTTTACTTGTTAGTGTTATACTGGATTTGAATATTAATTGACATGCATACCAGTGCTACAGAATTACATGAAAATATTGTTGAATACTCATGCTATAAACCGTTTTCTTTACTCTGGTCCTGAGGCAAAGTACTTAGCATCTTTGTGTGAACAATGTTAATGTGTAAAATATTTTGTCTAAAACGTTAGCTAAAGATATTTGAACAATTTTTTTTCAGTTGCTAATTTGTCCTCCTGTTACTCGGTTCTTCTGTGGAGCCAGGGAGCACTCCCATAAACTGTTAATTCAGGGAGATTCTTCTGGAAGGTTGAATATTTGGAACATACCAGACACTCCTGATAAACAGGAAAGTGAAGAAGGTAACAGAAAGTCAGGTACAGCAATTTCTTAATTCCTCATTCTTTTAATTTAACAACCTAAATACTAACCACTGACTAACAGGTGTCATGTCGTGTCATTTTCTTCTTAGAATTATAGTTGGTGACAATTATCATTCTTTGGTATATTACTAACTCAGCTCTAAGCATGTTTATTTTAATATTTTTTATTTTTTTCTAACATGCACAATGTTTTTTTCTTTTTTCTTTTATACACAACCAAACCTCCACAGGATTGGAAATAACAACTTCCGTTAGTTTGCAAGAGGCATTTGATAAGCTCGTTCCTTGTCCTGCTGGAATTATAGATCAGCTGAGTGTGATTCCCAACAGTAACGAACCTCTTAAAGTGACCGCGAGCGTGTACATACCAGCCCACGGACGACTCGTGTGTGGCCGCGAAGACGGGAGCATCGTCATCGTGCCCGCCACCCAGACGGCCATCGTGCAGCTGCTGCAGGGGGAACACATGCTCCGAAGAGGTAGACCGCAGCCCTGCCCGTGTCGGAGAGCCTGGAGAGCTCTGGGACTGCGGTGCCAGCAATGCTGGTGCGCCCGGCGCTCAGCAGATGCAGTGCCTCAGTGCCGCCGTTAGGGGGCTGGGCAGTTGCCAGAGCTTAGTGTGCAGGCGAGAAAATACTCAGTGCCCGTTCTCCGAATAAGGAGCATTTGATCAGGAATAAAGAAGTACCCAATTTTATCTCTTTGATGCATATTAATAGATCCATTTACTAATAGTTACCTCTTTGGGTTACTAAATAATTATCAATATTGTCCTTACTACCAGTAGTCTTTTAGAACAGTGCTCTCCAGCGGAAATATATATATGTAATAATGAGTGTAATTGTCTAGTGGCCACGTTAAAAAAGTAAAAATGAAGCAGGTAAAGTTAGTTTTAATAATATATTTTACTTAACCCATATAGCAAAACTACTTCCATTTCAGTGAGATAGTTTTCGTTATTATTTTGTGTTCTGAGGCTTCGAAGTCTCACGTACATTTGACACGTACAGCGCTTGGGAGTCTGGACTGGCCGCACTTTCAGTGCTCAGTGGTCTCACCTGGCTGGTGGCTACTGTAGTGGACGGAGCACTTTTAGAAGACAGAGTCAGAAGCCTTTTCTTTGTTGAAATGTGTAGCTCTTTTGACAATGCTTGTTTACTGTTGTTTGTTGAAACTCTGTAAGACTGTTATTTTCCCATTTTTAAATCCAACACCTCGTTTGCAGGTTGGCCACCTCACAGAACTCTCCGAGGTCATCGGAACAAAGTCACATGTTTGCTATATCCTCATCAGGTCTCAGCTCGCTACGACCAAAGACACCTGGTATCTGGAGGTGTGGATTTTTCGGTCATAATCTGGGACATATTTTCTGGAGAAATGAAACACATCTTCTGTGTACACGGTGGCGAGATTACTCAACTCCTAGTTCCACCTGAGAACTGTAGTGTAAGTTGACCAAAACAGATTACTTTACTGTGGGAGAGCGGAGCTATGTTGCTGTCAGGCTGCATGGAGGTGGAGCCTAGAGTCACTGAAAAGAAATGTGACAAGAGAATTCACAAAACTCTTTTAATTTTAAAACGAAATAATGGCAGCTTGTAAAGATTAGGCAACGCCATGATTATTTACTGTTGGGCACATAGAAACAGAAGGTGCCTGTCGTGGTTTTCCTTGTCATTGGCTCCTAAATAGCATGGCTTGCCCTTCAAACATAGTAGCAGTTTAGAATGTGTTTATTGGGTGGAGCTTCAATTTTCTGTTTAAAATAATTTTAATATCCCCGAAGACCTTCCAGAGTCTCATTATTTTCAGGTCTATCTGAGCAAAAAGGCAGGAAAGGTGTACTTTGGTAGAGGCAAAAATAGTCATCAATACTTATAAATAAATAGGGCTTGTTTGTATAAACAATTATTGTGTCGAGGGAAAGTGTATCAGGAGCTGGGAATGATCTTGGAAACTTTCATGCATCCCTTCGTGAAAGTGCATCGCTTTCTCGGTGACGTGTGTGTCAGGCCGTGATGTCAGATATGAAACACGCCAATTCTAGGCATATGAGACTTATGAGAGCTTCAGATTGATTAGCAACAGACCTGTAATTAGTTAATTAAGAACTTGTTTGTGTCATTAGCCGCCTTTGTGTGCGTATTCACCATCTCACACTTACATGCATGCGCACACATGTACACAAACACACCATCTTCTTGCGCACATATTTCATACTTATCATAGTCTGTTCACAGTCACAGTAATGGTCTTCTCGAATTGAAAAATATTTTACTTGTTTATCTGCAGTTTCACAGGGTCTTATTTCAAAATCCAAGGCATGTTTCTTGGCCTTTCTGCCCGTTTAATTTCCCTGATAATGTGTTTTATCTGTCTTGTTCTGTCAGGGCTAGATTTTGATCTGGGATTGGTGGCATTGTAAGAAGTCCTAGTACCAGCATTTCTCTGTCATGTTTTCTGCCGGAATTGACAATTCGGGGTCTTAATCATTCTCTCTCCTTTTTTTCATTCCTGTCTTTTCCTTTCCTTTTCTTCCCCATTGGTGGTTAGTTTCTGATCTTTATCACTGAAAAATTCCCATGTATTTACTTGAATAAGCAATTGTATGTCATATTTTAGTGAAATAGGTAATACTTTAGCACTCACAAGTGATAGCACTGTTACAACCCTGCCCTAAACTTTATTTTACAGTAGTTTTGCATTGTAAAGAAACGTGAACATTTTTATCCCTGGCTGTACTTTCGGTAGCCTAATATTTTGATGCTGAAACTTATTATTTAGATTATTTTTTATCAGTTTAGAACAACCATTTTTGATGTGGGTGATTTTTTAAATGTGAATAAAACATTTGGAACATGCTGTTCATATATAATTATGTGTACAGTTTAAGGGAAAATTTGCTCGGAGGGGTTTACATGAGGTCATGGTTCCTATTTGAATCACATTAATCTGTCCATGTTTTATCCTACGTGTTGGTATGAGCGCACTTTCTGGTTAAGTTTTTGAAAATTTTAAGTGGTAGTTAAAATGTGTTTGACCAACTGCATTTAAAAATAGTTCTTGGTCAGGACTCTACTTAGTAGGCACACGTGTAACGTAGGAGGGGATGGCTCCCCGCTAGGCCAGGAGAGGGCCAGCCCGCTGCCAGTCACCTGGGGGATGTGGACCAGAGAGACACAGACCAGGTGCTTGGGAAAGGGCGTGTGAGCTGCGATTTACTTAACAATAGAGACTTTCGTGTTTGTGATGGACCTTCTAAAGTACTGCTGAAGACAAAGCTGATTATTTAACCAGTAAATAAGGACTGCCTAGTTAATAACCTTTTCATTTAAATGTGCTTACAGATCTAAGAACCTAACTGATTAAAAAAAGGTAGAAAAGAATTCAGTATTTGCTAAATGTTTAGCAAGTGACTCTTGCTGAAATTAGAGCTGACCATATTATATACTGGCTCTTATGCTTGGATTTGAGATGCCCCTCCATAAATTGATCCAGTGTCTCTTTTTTAGCAGAAAAATATTTTTATTTTAAAGTTGTAATCTCTGGTAGTTGGAAAATTATGAAATTGAGTAAAGGTAATGATTAAAGATGAATACTGAAAAGTTTGCCATCTGCCTTTTTGATGAGAATAGAATTTGGTATTTATCTTAGGTATATTCAGAAGGAAGTTAGATTTGACTTCTTGTAATTTTTTTTCAGGAAAGGATGTTTTAAAACAAATGTTGAGTTTTTAAAATTACTTAAATCATAATTAAGAATGTACAAGGTTGATGGTTTTTGTTTTCTTATTTTATAAGAAATAAAATAGAAGGTTGTTAAGAAGTACGAAGCAGAACCATTGTTTGTCTCCTGGCTTAGGTACCATCTTCTCTGTCTAGTGAAGAAAAATGACATCCTCTGCCAGGTGGAGAGGGTGGTGCCGCTGGAGACGGGGAACTTCTCTAACACACCTGTGAGATTTGACTTTGGGACAGGTGCTGGAGCTTGTAGTTTGGAGATCTCTAAAATTAGGGTATTTGCCTTTCCTATTTCTTTTAAGCATGTGGAATATGGAGAAAAAAAATTAGTTTAAGGTTGTTGCTTTTTTTCTTTTTGGTGGTTTAGGCTCTGGATAAAACCAAATGTACTGTATGAAAGACAGATGTACATGTGAAAGAAAAGTAACCTGAAACTATCTACTTACACAGTACTTGAATAAAATATAGTAAAATAAAATACATAAAGTCCTGTACCATTTTTGTTTCTCATTCTAAGTTGATTGTTTATAAATGAATGATTTTGACCTTATAAACTATTCAGTTAAGATACTTCTTAGGCAGTTTTAATAACATTTACATTTAATTTTATTTTTATTTTATTATTAAATTGGATTTCCACTTCAAATATTCACATAGATTTTTTTAGAAAAATCTTTTAAAAAATAGGCTTGCCAAATTTTAACTGATTTACTGAATTTTAACATGCACTTGGAATATTATTTACTGTGGTTTCTTAAAAATATTTTATAAACAGGTAATGATGCACACAGTAGGAAGGACAAAAGGTAGTAAAGGTTTTGCATGAAAAACCCGTTTCCTTTCCCTGCAGTTCTCCAGCCACGTGGTTCCCTTAACCCTGAGTGCAGTGGCTTGTGATCCCTCAGAGACTTCCTGTGTTCTGTTTTAATACTTCAGAACTGTATCATTTTAGTTTAATCTTACTCAAGTAACTAATACATTTAAGCAATTCAGTGGTTAGAGGTAGAATGCTTTTTAGATTTCAAGAGCAGCCAGAGGTGGGTTTGAGTGAATTTTCAAAATCTGAACTTGCCCTGACTGGTGCAGCTCAGTGGATTGGGCCTTGTTCTGCAAACCAGAAGGTTGCTGGTTCAGTTCCCCATCAGGGCACATACCTGGGTTATTGACCAGGTCCCCACTGGGGGTGTATGAGAGGCAACCAATGGATGTTTCTCTCCCTCTCTTTCTCCCTTCCCCCTTTCTAAAAATGAATAAATAAAATCTTTAAAAAAAAATCTGAACTCTAGGCAGTTGGAAGCCACACGAGTGCAGCAGGTGCCGGGGAAGTGCCAGGAAGTGAGCCACCGAGAGGGGGACAGGTGCTGTCCGGAGCAGGAGCCTCTGAACCTCCAGCAGCAGGGTTCCGCAGTCTCAGGTGGGAGCGACTCCATCTCTTCCCTCCCCCCCCCAGCCAGGCTATTCGCCTTCCCTGCGTATCCATCCTTTTCCTTTTACTGTAGCTTCTCACATGAAGGAGTCCACTCTCCAAGACCCAAGAACGTTTTATTTTCACATAGTTTATTTTCAGAGAGAGAAACTAGGCTTTGGAAAAAAATTAGGAGACGAAAATTTTAAAAATCAACAGTGGTTTAAAATTTTTTTTTCTAGCCCTGGCTGGCATAGCTCAGTGGATTGAGCATGGGCTGTGAACCAAAGCATCACAGGTTCGATTCCCAGCCAGGGTACATGCCTGGGTTGCAGGCCATAACCCCCAGCAACTGCACATTGATGTTTCTCTCTCTCTATCTCCCTCCCTTCCCTCTCTAAGAATAAATAAATAAAATCTTAAAAAAAATTTTTTTTCTTAATAAGCCAGGTAGATAGGATTGACCAGAATAAAAATTCAGAAAGTTAAAAAATAACCCCAGTGACCCCATGGCATAGTTCTTCACAGTCGGGCTATGCCGATGCCTTTGCACCGAGCTCTCCATGGTTCCTCCGTTGGTTCGTGCTGCAGGGGCTGCGTGTAGGAGTGTGGCCTCTGACACGGGGCCTGTGTCTGTGATGCAGTAGGACGCCATTTATTTCCATTTTAAATGCAGGCAAATCTCTGCTATGTATTTCTGGGCACATGAATAGGTAGTGAAAGCACTAAAATGAAACTGAAGAGAGCTTAATACCAGAATGGATTCAGCTTTGCTTTGGGGACTGAGAACAGTGAGTATGGAAGGGAACAAAATGTTTTATTGCCTTTTAGTAAGCATATTTAATATTTATTTTCTTCCCTAGTTGGCATGGATGATTGAGCTATCAGAGCTTTTTGCTACTGCTAGAACTTTATTCAGAACAGAATTTTTGGAAAATGTTTCAAAATTAACTGTTTAGTACCAATAATATATATGTTTTTCTGTGTAATATAGACTAAGTTCTTTAATAGATTAGCTTTTTAAAAATTATTTTATTGTTGTTCAAGTACAGTTGTCTGTACATACCCCCACCACTCCCCCTCACCCCGGCCATCCCTACTTTAATAGATTAGTTTTAAAAAATGATGATTTTTCATTTATACCATCTTACTAAACATTTCAGTTTATATAATTTCCCAAAGTATCCAGAAGGGGGCAGCATGGGTTTGCAAAACAGGAGTGCCAGTTACCTAACCTGAGTATTAGAGTTTGTGCCTTCATTTGATGGTATCAGACCCTTAGCTCCTACAGAGAGATGTAA